GCTGTCGGGGTTATGTTTATCAAAATTTTGACTTTCGGCATTCTTCATTGTCGGTATTTTAACTGTCGAAACTTTAGCCAATCGGCATTACTGCTGCCGAAACTTATAGTTTGCTTTCGGGATTTTATCTCACGGAATCATGGTTGTCGGCATTTTTCACGGCAGATATTTTTTAGCTGTCGAAACTTTCGGGTCATCTCCAGAATCCCCTTCTCAAACCTCAAAACCCCCAGGTACCCCTTTCATTGTGGGGTTGCATCCCGACCCAACCCACCCCAGTCCTCCCCCCGGAAACCAATGCCATTTGTCTGTATGTGTGTTTTCTGTGTGTCTGTCTTTTTGTGTGTCTGTCTACATCCTTCTGTCCATCGTTTCGGCAAAAGACGAATCGAATTGTGTGTATCTCGGGGAGGAGGGGGAGGAAAGGAGGCCCAACCAGGAGAGGAGTCCCAACGGCGAGGAAATCGCTATCACCCGTCCGGGGGCCCGGGACGGCAATCCCAGAAATTGGGCCTCGTTCCGGCGGACGGCCTCGAAACAAAAAAGGAGCAGGAGTAGGAGGGGAGGAGGAGCAGCAGTTCTGGAGACAGACTTTTCCCGGGTAGCGTCACTATTCTGTCGTCAGGCCCAAGATTTTTCTCTATTGGTTTATGGTAGTTTGGGCGTGGATTAGAAAGAGATTTAGGTTTTCTTTTGCTAAAACAAGACTCTATAGATTTTTCTGGCGACCAAATTGAACAGATTTTCTGGAACTTGTTTTTCCGCACCAGCACAGTGCTTCCTAATCAATCAGCGGGGGATCAACTTTCGAGTCGCGAGATCCAAGGTCATTTCTTCGAAAATTTTGCGCTCTGAACCGGGGGAATGGTATTTATTTTTGGCTTTATATCTGTTTATAATGTGCAAAGGAGATAGATTTAGATCTATGGGAGCTTTGGCATTATCGGGGGGGTTGTCAGGGGAAAACCCATTTTTCTCTAGTATCTAACTTTTCTGTTCGAATTAAAGGAATGTTTCCGAATCCCTACATTGTTTTTGCTATTCCTAAACGCAAAAAACTTTACCAGCTTCGATAAAAATACGAAAACTATAGATTCTGAAAGTTTAGATTTTTTCACATGAATATTGTTTAATTTTTACTAAAAATACGACTAAACTATTTTTAAGATCATAAATCGGCGACGTTTTTCTCTCTGACGTAATAAAAAGACCGAGATTTTCATCACATAGTTTGACTTAAGCAACAAATACTAAACACTATTACCATTTTCGCAGCATCCCCATGGCCATAATCCAAAAATCACCATTTCCAATATTCCCAGATGCCCCGAAATTTTTCATCGCTGTGCAAATATGGTGACCCCGACGAGTCGGCAGCCCTGCAACCTCTCCGCCGGCTTCCATTCAATTTGAGGCTTTTTATACCAATCCAAATTCGTCCGAACTCGCCCCGAATTTATAGTGCATCACTGCAAAAGGCGTCATTTTCCTGGGACGGCGTGAAAACAAAGACAGCAGCCGGGGCGAGCATTTTCAATTGTCTGTGCGCGGATCGGATTAGGCATCAGGGGGGATTTATTTTTCAGAAAACTTTGAGAAATAGACGGGGAAATTGGGAGTGAGCAGTAACGTCCATTTGGCGTTCGTCAATCAAATCTTGTCGGGGGTTTATCGCGTAAACAAAGAAATCGTTTTTTCGTATCTGGGTGGTAGACAATAGCGGCTCGTAATCTGCTCCCGATTTTTTTTCTAGCTACGGTTTTTTTGTCTCCGACTCACTTTAATCAATATATCCCGTATCATTGAGTTTTTTTTTATCCATTTTTTACACGGATTTTCACAAATTGGTGCTTTGGCATTAGCAGGGGGGCACGTCAGGTAGTAGCAATTCTCGTAATAGGGCATACTATTTTTGAGTAGTTTTGCAAAACTGGAACTTTCCACTGGAAAACTGAAAAAAATTCGTTTTCAAAACTCGACATTTTCGGTGAAAAATCGATATTTTCCTTTGGTTTTTATAAAAATCTGTAAATTAACTGCGTTTGGCAATAGCAAAAATGTTTAAAAAAATTTACGATTTATATTAGAAAATGAGATACGAAAGAAAAAAAGGCAGATTTTCCGCTGATAACCACTCCCCCCACCGATAATGGAAAAGCTCCCGCAACTTGGCATTTTTCTCCTGTTTCCTTTGATAGTCATTGCGTCAAAAATTTCATTGATCGAATTTAAGGGTCCCAGCCGCTGGTAAAAATTCGAAGCCGATCGGATAGACGAGAAACTTGTCGTTTTTGGGCCCTGTAGCAGCCCCTTCCCCTGCCCCACCACCGCCAAACCAAACGAATTTATTCAATCACATGATCATTAACGGAAATAATTACACCATTCACATCATTCAAATCAAATCAATTTCTCGAGCTGCGTGTAGAAATTTCTGCGAGCCGCTTCGAACTTGACGCCGACCTTCGCCTAAAAGATGTTTGTGCTGCCCCAAATGCGGCCGGTACCCTGATGTAGTCGAGGACGGTGCTGTAGATGAACAGATACTGGGGGGCCGTTTGGATGGCGCTGGCTCGGCAATTGCGCAACTCCTTGAAGACGTCGACCACCGTCACTTCTTTATTTTTGAAGAGACGAGTGGTAATCATGTCGATGGCAATCAGGGTGCCAGTGCGGCCGATACCAGCCGAACAGTGGACGATCGTAGTTCCTGAGCCGCTTTCCTACAAAATGGATGGTTAGAAACACCTTCCACTTGTTCATCCACCTTCATCAACCGCAGAATGCTAATGGCCGAGTGACCGGAAGAGGCGGCGCTCTGATCGGCCCATCCTGGGCAGTGGATCAGCTTGATGACGTTCGAGTTCGAGCACCCGTCCGGCAGCACCTCCAGCGTGTAGATGGTGAGTTGAGCTTTGGCCTCGGTTTCGACCTTCTTGTTGTTGACGAACATCTTGCCGTGGTTCTTGAATTCACCGGCTTTCTGTGGCCAGTACTCCGCAAAGCCAGCTTTGTCGCTAGCGAGGCCGAGGCAGATGACGCTGGTGGCATTCTCCTGAAAATGGGAATGTCTGTCTGTCTGGCTCTCTCTCTCTCTACCTGAAAAGTCATCCTCCAAAAATCTTCGATAGTGCCTGGCAGTGGCCCTTGAGTGGCGATGTATTTCCGCTCCAGATCGTCTGCCGTCACCCAGTTTGCGTGGATATAATCGCCATCTGCCGATGTGTAGTTGCCAAAGTCGTTTCGGAGGACGACACGCGTAGCATCCAGGCACATCACATCCTATCAAAGCGGTATCAATGTGTACACATCGCTAGGATTACCTTAAATTTGTTCTTCTCCGGGTTTTTGTTCGCCGCTTCACACTTCATGACGGACGGCAGATAGGTCTTGTTGGCATCGAATTCTTCCAGCATTCCGGTTGGTGTGACCTAAGAAAGACGGGTTAAAGGGGGCGGGAAGTGGGAAAGTCGACCCCATGCGGCGACTGGGTCTCTGTCAGTCTCGGTCACTGGACTGTTAGCGTGGGGCGGGCAATTTTTAGGAGCCCAAGCTAAGCCTAAGCCTCAACGTTACCTTTTCGATGTGCTGGACAAACTTGTCGATGGCGGCATTTGAAGGGATGGTCTTGGCGACAGCTCTTGCCGTCTTCTTCTTCGTCTGACCCGAGACTCCGCCAGCCTTCTTGCCGCTATTTTGTTGTTTCTGGGTGTTCTGCTCCGGCGACTCATCCGTCTGCTCCCTACTTCCTCCCGTCGTTTTAGCTGAAAATGCGAGAATATTCCGGGATTCTCACGATTTTCGGTGCTTCCCAGGTTTGAAAATTACCCGTACCATTCCTCTCCCTGTTCGTGCCGGCGACATCTTCCAATATCTGCTCGGCCGACGCGCCGCCCCTAGCAGGAAAAAAATAAAAAAGGACTCTTATTCAAATAAAGTGACTGATTTTGTTTAATGGGAAGGGGGCGGGCTTAATGGCTCTCTAACGATCAATGTCTAAAAACTATAAAAACACTATATAATTTTAACATCCGGAAAACGTTTCGGTGGAAAATTACCACTCCCCCCCCCCCCGTTAACAGAGAAGAACCCCAATTTTTGATTTGAATAAAAAGATTAGAAGTTTGCGATTTGGTTCGGCCGAGATAAGTTCCCCAATTAGATTTGTGACCTTTTCAAACCCGCCTTTTTAAATGGCAGAATTTAATTTGCGCTAACATCTCTAGTCAGGCATAAATTTACCGTTTTTTGGTGGTAGCGGCGGCTGCGCGGCCCTTTGTCGGCGGAGGCGTCTTCTGTGCCATGTAAAACGTTAATAGAAATAGGAGAATAGAGAATAGAAAAGCCGTCGATGGGTGTAGAAAGTGGATGGGATGGAAGGTGGAAGATGCAGCTAATTTTATTCCAGGTATCCTGCCCAAATCTGGGCGTATTTCCGCGGCAAAAGATGTTAGAAGGCAGCAAGTGAATGGTGTATTCTAATTCGAAATGGAGATTTGTCTTTTGAATTCATTCGAAATGAATAATTTTCGGGACTTGTCTGTTAGCGGGGGGTATTTATTGTTTTTTGTTTATTAATAATAATAATGTATACTGTTATTTTATGGTGTTTTGAGTAGTTTGTGTTTGCTAAGAAGTTATAAAAAATTGATAATTTTTCATCTTTTTTACGGCCGTTTTTCATGGATTTTGGCAAAAAGTCAAAAATTGTCGCCAAATTTGTCATTTTTCATTGTTAAAAGCTATGTAAGATGCAAATATAAGCGCTGTAAACCACAAATTGACAAGATAAAAAAAACAGAAGCCATAAAAAAGTGATAGCTAATTTTACGAAGTTTCCGAAAGCCCAGAAACCTCCAAAACTACCTCGCACCCGCCAACTAACCACGCTTTTTCACATTTGTCTTAATAGATAATTATCATATAACGTCTCACTTTTTGCACGCTCTGTTTCATAACCCTCTTATACGTATGGTGACCGTGTCTCCGATTCAGAAGAAATGCCGTCCGCCGCCTCCCCTCAAAAGCAGACGTCGAGCGCGAAGAGCGCGCGCTCTTCGGCAAGAGGTAATCGGCATTTTAGAGTGGTTAAAACGTCGGCATTTCATAATGTCGGCATTTCATAATGTCGGCATTTCATAATGTCGATATTTCCGGATGCTGAAATCATAAACTCGAAGCTTTCGATATAGAAATTTATGGTGTCGCAAGTTCATGAAAACCCATTCGAAAAATTAGCTCAAATCCTATGCTAAAAATGCCGAGACCTCGAATTTTCGGCATTCTTGGATTTCGACATTCCAAGTTTTAATTTTCTCTTCGAAATTTGAAAAAAAACCGTTTAGAAAGAGCATTCCGGGTATATAATTGGGAAAACTACCCATAATGAACGATTTGGGTAGAGCCAAATTCGGGTAATTTTTAAAAATCGATACGCCACGTTTTTATAAATTCCTTATTTTATTTCTAAGGCTCTCGGCCTCCATTAGCAAAATTCTGGCCCGTCTTACTCACTGATTTTTTTCGGAGTTCTGCTTTGAGCCCAACAGGTCCACCAAGGCTTTCAGTGGCGATGAATAAAATAGGCTAGGAGTCAAATTAAATTGGGAGTTTTGGAGGGGGCAGCATGGAGAATTCGACATTTTGAGCGAGCTGTTATTTCCACGGGTCGTAAGCTACAATTATTAGATTCGTAATTTGCTGCCGTACGTTTCGTGTGACCGGTAGGGATGGGATGGGCTTAGGTTTAGGCTTAGGTTAGGCTTAGGCTGAGGCTTAGACTTATGCTAAGCTTAGGCTTAGGCTCAGGCTTTGGCTTGGGCTTGGTTTAGGCTTACAAGGGAAGGGCACATGCACAGGTTGGAATTTAGAAAAACGCTCGCGGGTACCCCGGGGTAATCGACTACGGAAAACACGATGCTGTCGTCCGATTTTCCTGCCGAGGCTTGTGGACAGAGATACAGCACTTCCGGAAAATCATGATTTGCATGCGAAAAATTAGAATCCGGGGAAGCTTTATTAGGCTCTCCCATCAGTATGCAATCACCAGTCGAGTGGCAGATTGGTAAGCAACTCGCTTGGTAGGATACTGACGAGGGTACGGATCCGCTCGTGATTTTTTCGTTTTGCTTTTTGACAAAATTTTTTGCACAAGTCCAGAACCTTTCCTAAATGTGTAAAAAGACGCCTTTGTGGCCCTGTAATACGTCTAACAAGCAAAGAAAAACTTTTTCGAAAATTTTATTTTTGCGATCTTTTGGGCACCCCACCGATATACAGTAAGGGAATGGGTACTGTAGTGACGGAGGAATGACTAACGGGGATATCGACTACATATCACATGAGCGCACTAGATAGAAATGGGAAGGCCCAGACTATTCAAATTCAAAAAATCTGGAAAATTTTTATAAAAGCGCTGTCTAACCAACTTGCCAGGGCCGTGCAACAGGATAGGTGCTACAAACCAAACGAGAGCGTGACGCTTGGCTTCTGCAAAAATTTTCCCGCAGAATTTTTGATCGTTTGGCAGCCGATGGGTGGAGGGTCGGAAAATAAAATTTTCGAAAAAGTTTTTCTTTGCTTGTTAGACGTATTACAGGGCCACAAAGGCGTCTTTTTACACATTTAGGAAAGGTTCTGGACTTGTGCAAAAAATTTTGTCAAAAAGCAAAACGAAAAAATCACGAGCGGATCCGTACCCTCGTCAGTATCCTACCAAGCTAATTGCTTACCAATCTGCCACTCGACTGGTGATTGCATACTGATGGGAGAGCCTAATAAAGCTTCCCCGGATTCTAATTTTTCGCATGCAAATCATGATTTTCCGGAAGTGCTGTATCTCTGTCCACAAGCCTCGGCAGGAAAATCGGACGACAGCATCGTGTTCTCCGTAGTCGATTACCCCGGGGTACCCGCGAGCGTTTTTCGAAATTCCAACCTGTGCATGTGCCCTTCCCTTGTTAGGCTTAGGCTTGGCTTAGGCTTAGGCTTGGCTTAGGCTTAGCTTAGGATTCGGCTTGGCTTAGGCTCTGGTTTGAGCTGAGAGTCTGGAAAATCAATATAAAATTCTCTAATTTTTATGTTGTGGTAATCCCCCGAATATTTTCGTCGTTTACCTCAATGTCGTGCGCATGGTACCGTTTACCCCAATGTTAAAAGTGACGTCTCCTTGGGTCTATGTAGTTTTTGTGTTGTGCGGTTATTAAATAGGATTACAAACGGTATTTTTCTCATTTTTAAAGATATTTACCGGCATTCAGGGGCGTAGCCAGAAAAAAATTTCGGGGGGGCCCCGAAAATTTTTTTCGCAAAACTCAAAACTAACGAGGAAACAGCGCCGCAGGCGAAAAATTTTGGAAAAAAAGGCTATATAGCTCTACAAATAGCAGTCAAAACGTGAAAAAATAGCGCCGCAGGCAGCAAAATTTTTGAGAAAATAAAAATCATAAGGGTCCCCCCTTATGAAATTTTCGGGCCCCGGCCGATTTCGGGGGCCCGGGCCCAGGGGGCCCACCTTACGCTACGTCCCTGCCGGCATTACAAATTAAAGTTTATCCAGGAACAGCGTAGCGTTTCTTTAAAGGGACGGGGAAGTCAGGAATTTTAGCTTAAAAATTAGTTTTTCTAGTTAAAAATTAAATCCGCTTATTTCAGACGAAGACCAGGATGAGATCGGGCCCGAGGAGGGGATGAACGCGCGTGGCTTCGGATCCCCGCACGGCATTCAGCGCCGTCGTGGTGCCATCAAGCATGCAAAGGTACATTTTATTGATTCAACTTCGAAGTTTTGGATTTGCCAATTTTGATTTCGTTAAAAATTTTAATTAGCGGATTTTTATTTTATCGATTTTCATTATACCGATTTTTCACTTTCTGGTTTTTAAAATCCTTTTAAGTAATGTAACAACTAAACTTAAATTAAATTATGGAAAGTTTGTAAACTTCTTGTTTCGGATTTAGTTTTTAGATTTTTCGATTTTGTAAGACTAAGACTTCCTTTTTGCCTAATTTATTCAATTCTCGAATTAATGAGAAATTATCGTTATAAAACCGGAATCATGTTTATTATCGGTTAAATACTGTTTTGACATGTTTACTTGTTCTAAATTTTGAATAGTAAAAAATCAAATTGGTTTTTAAACTTAATTTTTATAAATAGGCTTTTTCGTTTCCTAAAGCTAAAGAGCTATTCAAAACCCCCATTTAAATTTTTAAATTTTTCAAAGCACAGCCTAAAGAAAGAGCCGTTTTGCTATGGATCCCATCCTTTCCAACCCGTATAAAACATCCCATATTTCATTTTCATTACAATTCCTTTTAGCCTAATAGAATTTTTGCCTTTTCGGAGCCTTTAGAAAAATATTGCCCCCTGACACCCCCATTTTGTCTCGATGAAAATGTTGGATTATCCGGGCCGGGTGACCCAATTCTACAGTACCCCCTTGGAAATCCCGGGTCTAAAATCGGCGATTTTCGGATAATAACCGAAAAGTGTTCTATTTCCCATATCTGGTCAACAAGCCTCTTCCCTTCTAGGGATTCCAGAACTCATTCGAAAATTGCACAAAACAACGGTCATTCGTTTCTCTGTGTTTTTGCCCTTTCAAAGCAGCTGCCACTATTGTTATTTTTCTAGGGTAATTTAGCAGTCTCGATAAACAGAAATTGCCTAAAAAGTGCCCTAAAAACTTGCCGAATTTTACCAATCGTAATTTACTTTTTTTCAGGTCCACGAAATTCGGGGTCACCAATTTGTGGCCACGTTCTTCCGGCAGTTCACCTTCTGCCAGTTCTGCTCCGATTTTATGTGGTAAGCAAGCATTTTCAGATAGGATTTCTTTCTCTTTTCTCTCGCTCTCTCACGCTCTCTCCCTCTCTCTCTCGCTCTCTCTCTCTCTCTCTCACTCGCTCTCTTTGGCTCTACATATCTCTATCTCTCTCTATTTCGCTCTATCTCTCTCACTCTCGCTCCCCGCTCTCTCTCGCTCCTCTCTCATCTCTCTCTCTCTCTCTCTCTCTCTCGTCCTATCTCTCTCTCTCTCTCTTTCTCTCGCTCCCTTTAATCCACCTGTTTTAAAGGGAGTGCGACATCACCCTCATCCTCATCTTCTTCACCACCTCATAAAATCCGAATTTTCAGGGGTCTGAACAAGCAGGGCTATCAATGCCAACTGTGCTCGGCCTCCGTCCACAAGAAATGTCACGACAAATTGTTGACACAATGCCCCGGATCGGCCAAGAATACAAAGGAGACTATGGTAGGCAAAGAGGGGCAGGCTAGCCAAGATCTTTGAGGATCGACGTTAACCGGATTGTCGAAACTTTCCTAGAGAATTCCATTCTCTAGGTGCAGTTTCGAGGATCTAATTATGTGGCGTAATGGGGTTGGCAATATGCCAGGTGGTCCCGCCGCGATGACCGTATGGGAGCGGGCTGTGCGGCGCCCTCTCGGCCCTCTGGCGATTATTCGGGTTCTTCCCGGATTACTCGTTTCTTCTCTCCCGAAAGGGATTGGAGGCCAGGGATGGTTTCGGCCTGAACTGGAGAAGGTCTGTGAGCCTGGAAGTGGTTTACCACTGAAGGGGCGCAGTAAACCACTGGCGAGTGCATCCTTTCGACACCCTGAACATTCTCGTTCGCCCTGCCCTCGACATTGTATTCTCCTCAGACACCCTTTATCCGTGCCCTATATATTTGCCACTGTTCTCTACTAATAAACATGTTCTCTAATCCATTCAGGTATATTGGTAACCACATTCTATTACTGCCATTTGAACACCGAACGCGCGCTGGTATTTATATGGAAGTGGTTTGAGGCTCGGAATATAAATGTGGCAACCTGCGCTTTCCCTTTTCCTATTATACTATTTAGCTTTATACACTTTAGGAAAGGTAGGAGGTTTATATTTTCGATATGGTGCGTCGGCCGTGGTTAAAACCCGGTCAATTTCTGCCTCTATGCCGATGGACAATGCTTTCGACAAGAGAATGGTGAAGGATGTATGGCTCGCGACACCCTTGCTCTCTTCGACAAGACTGCCGACGGGCGCGTTTTGTGCGGATGTGTGCGATCAGCCACGGCCGTGGTAACTTTCCTGCTTTGTGTGTTTAGATCACGCAAATGGCCTTGGGTTTGACGCCAGGGCGCGGTGTGTTCCCCATGAAGCCGGCCCACGGAACTATCAAATCCATGTTTGCAAAGCCCACGCGAGCCCGCTGCGAATGGAAAGACGATTGCCGTGGAATGGTGGAGAGGATCGCCACTCATCAGCAGAAGAAGCAATGGGCAAGACTGTACGAGTGGATACAAAATAAAAGGTGATTTTTGGATATTCTTTGTCTTTTCCAGGATGAAATGAGCATGGGATGCGTGTTCGATGGTTGCCCCAATGGTGTTCTGTGCGCGGAAGGATGGGCCAGCTGCTGTTCCTATCTCGCGTCCACCTTCTCCATGGCCCCAACCTCCACTCGTCGCCAATGTCTCAAGGAAAGAAGAAGCGACACTCGGCGCAACCTGTTTTCGACACTTGGTCAAGCGCAAAGGCGACAACTTCCGTCTGCTCTGCTCAAGACAATCAGTCTGGACGTCTACTCGTCATCAAGCGTCTACTTTGTTCAAGTTTGCTGCGCGACTACATGTGTTCGATCGAAGACCGCCCTTCACGAGGTGTTTTGCGACAATGGCCTTGAGAAAGTCATTTGTTCGCATTTCACTGGCCTACAAGGATTTTTTCTCACTCGACATCTGGGATTTTCGCCTTATAAGACATCTTTTAGAAGTGCTCGACATTTCGTCAAGAACTGGATGCAGCTTCTTCTCAAGTTACGGCGACAAGCTGCGTAAGATGGTGGAAGAAGTCTCCGACAAGCCGGCCGCAGTTCACGGAAAGTGCAGCCATGTTTCGACACCTGCTTTCTGCCGAGCTGATGTGCTGAACGAGACCCCTCGACTACGCCGGTGATATTACGGCATCAACTCGACACGCTTCCCATCTATCGACACTTGCTGCATGGATTCTTCTTATTTTGCGACACCCGAATTACTTTGAGAATTTATTCTCTTAGTTTTTCAATCCCGACACTGGCTTTTTAGCCACGCGAAGAGGTGTTTTCTTGCGACAACGGTCCCCGAGAAGCCGTCTACGTGCAAAAATCACTGGCCAATCTACCTTTTGCTGCTCACTCTACATGCTCGATGTTTTCTACACTTCCGCTGAGTGCTGCACAATCTTCTCGACCAAAAGCGATCCCTTTGCGAGATCACACTTTGATATCGTTGGTTTGATTTTTGAATTGATATCGCGTAATGGATGAGATTTGCGCGTGGTGGGACCCGAGGGTTCAAAGGTGTGCTGCGGAAGAGCCGTCTCAATTTTTCGGCCCGCTCACATTTTTGAATTTTCCTCGTTCTTTCCGCGCTCATTTCTTTTCGCGTTTGTATTTTGCTTTTCGTTTCCAACTTTTGTTTTCTAAATTTCATTTTAGTTTTCTAAATTCACTTTTTACTTTTTGCCTTTTCAAAATTCTTTTCTTTTTTCTTTCAAAATTCCAAATTCCACTTTCGCGCTTTCATTACGCGGTTTTCATTTTGATTTTCATTCTGCGGTGTTGATTTGTCCTCGTTCGCTTCACGCTTCAATTCGTCCTCTTTTGATGCTGCCTGTTTCAGACACCACAAGCCTGCAACAGTCGACAACATGCTGATCAAGCGCGTCAACCCAATCAAGTTCAAGACATGCTGGACGGATGAGCGACACTACACGCTCGAGCCCACTGAAGCAGCGACAACTGATCGACACTTGCACAAGGATCTCAAGCCCGACACCCGTTCCTGCGTCAACAACATCAACAACGCATGGATCGCTGTCGACGAGGTGTTTTGCGCCAACGGCCTTGAGAAAGTCGTTTGGTTCTGCAATCCACTGGCCCACTTTTTGCTTTTTTTTCTCACCGCGACACTCGGGCGTTTCGCAAAATACGACATCGTTTTTTTAGACACTCGGTGATGCAACAAGGATCGACCTCGCAAGACACCACGTGATTGCTGAGGCGCCTTCAACAATGCGCGCTCCACATGGTCCCAATGTTCAAGTCAAGCCGCTGCGATGCAAGAAGAATGGAAGAAGCCTCTTCTGCAAGCCGGGCAACAGTTCAAGGAATGGCGCGGAGGCTTCGTGAATCGACACCCGCCTTCCGCTGATTCACCGGCTGACAAAGATCCTTTCTTTCTCTCGAAATCGACATTGCGCAAGCTCATTTTAATATTTCTGCGTTGACATGTGTGAAATTTTTCCTCTTCAAGTTGCTTCATCGTTTGTCTACTATTTTGCGACACCTGAAATAACTTTGGAATTTATTTCCTTAGTTTTTTCAAACCCGACACCGGCTTCGGCCACCGCGACACCGGCCTCGGCCACCCTCGACACCGGCCTCGGCCACCCTCGACACTGGCTTCGGCCACCGCGACACTGGCATTTTGCCGCTCGACACTCGTCTTCCTACGAAGCAAGCTCTGCCGTCACCGATGATGCATCCAACTTCCAATGGCTCGACGACGACTCCACACAAGAAGCCTACACTGAAGTTGCGGATGAAAGATGCATGCTTCACTCTTGGCCAAGCGCGGCAATGCTTTCTACATCCACTTCTCGATGTCGGATTTGTAAAAGTAAGGTTCTTTTAAAGTGTTGGGCGCGCCACTTACGATTCGTCGCTAAAGTTGGCCCTAACGATTCGAAATTTTGAAATTTCGTTTTGTTTGCTCGAGATTTTACGTTCAAAAACTCCAAATTTACTCGAGCAAGCATTCGTTTTTTCAAGTTTCTTATTGTTTGCTCAATGCTTTGATTTGGACTTTTTACTTTTACATTTCTCGCGACAACTTGCCATGCAAGTTAGAGTTTATCTCTAGCTTGTACTGCTTTTTTCGACACTCGGTGAGGGCGACATCGCGTTCTTTGAGACACTTGCTGCCGCCCTTCTGCCTGCCTGCCGCAGACGAGCCATGCTGTTGCCCGACAAGCTACCGCTGGCGCCGTCCTCGACAACTCGCGGTCCACTCCACAAAATTCAAGCTTCTTCTGCTGCCGCCATCAACAAGATCCACTTCACAGGGCGTGCACCAAGCATCTACAGAAGCTGAGGGACACTCGAGTTGCAGCGGATCAAGACAACGGCAGGGCAGCAACGACTTCAAAGCAACGCGACATCCCCACACCGGACACCTGGCGTCCGCAAGTCTTTTTTCAAGGTATTCATTTTCTCCGCAGGCTGCTCGTCATCAGAAGAATGGTCTGCTGCGTCAATTGAAGACTTGCGGCACCAACAGCGACACTTCGGACGTTCTCTGACAGTGTGCGTGGCGCCTACAAGGGACTTTGGCGCCCGTTTACCGGCTTCTGCACGTCAAGGAGCGACATTCCTCGTCCTGCGGGCAGGATGCCACTCAACGTCCAATCGCCAACGTTAGGCCGTTTGCTTCTTTGCGTCACTGCTGTCAATGATTTGCGGCGCGAGCCGTTATTTCTGCGACACTTTCCGCATTGAAAATTTAGACAAGCGCCGCTCGACATCTCGTCTTCCTCGTTCGACAGTTAGCCTGCGACGACAACGAGAACCTTTGCGCCCGGCGTCAATGTTCGTTAGACGCATCGGTGAAGCTTTCTACATGCTCTACGCACTGAAGCGACGTTCTTCGTGCCCGTCGACAAGCCTCTACACATCAAGCGCGGTCGAAGAAGCTTCGAACACCTCGGCAAGACTGCATCGACATCCATGGCCCTTCGCGCCTACAATGTGTGGATGCCGATCAGCGCCCAAGCGACAACGTTGTGCAGCGGCGCTCGAGATCTCGTGTTCTCCGCTCGGCGATGGACTCAATGGTTACAAGGACCTCGCGACAAGATTCATCGTTTCAAGCGCGGCTCCCGAGCGACTTCAATCTGGTCTTCAATGGTCAACACTGATCCAGCGAGGCTTCCTACATGTCTGAAGTAGCGACTTTCTTCCGCCTTCCGCCCCTGGTCTGCGTCTCTATAATGCAAGCGCGCCGTTCAGCGATGAAGCGACAACGGTTTGGCTCTTTTCTCGGCGTGACTGCTGTCAGCGATTTGCGGCGCGAGCCAATATTTCTGCGACACTTTCACAACTACAAGTGTACGTCAGTGGCGCTCGACTTCACGTCACTACAACGAAGCTTCGATGCGAAGCAACACTGCTCAGCGGGTGCAATCATCGCTGGCTGCCGACACTTACAACTTGTCCGGCGGCAGCGACAAATACTTCAAGATGG